ACATTTTGTAAGACTCAACTCAGTACATTTTATTTTTGAATGAATTATTTGACAGTACTGTACATGATGCACTAATTGAAATAATAAATATGTATTCTAAACTACTGTAGAAGCAGAAAGGAAAACCTTTAGAATCTGCAGGTTGAAGTTCAAGTCATTATTCACAAGCATAAAATTGAGTACCATATTGTTGTACCTTTAGCCTAAGTGGATGTCTGTTACATCATTATTTTAATGCATTCTCTTCTCCTGAAGTTTATATTATTTTAAAGATTCTAGTTAGTTAGGGTGAGTTAGTGTCGGAGTAAGAGTGCCACCCCCCTGAAAGAAGACACTGATGGACTGGGACAGATGGCAGCAGGTGGCAGGCCGGCAGCGCCTCACACTGACATTAAAAGACGGTTCAGCCTCTGCAGCTTTGGCCTTTCACTACACAGTCTGCGCTCTCACCCCATAAATGACCTGCTTAACCACATTGTGATAGTAGCAAACCAGCTGCAGTGTTCAGATCATTCTGAGAATTATAATTGACATCAAGCACTGTGTTATCGTCTGCTCTGACAAGTGTAGGCTGAACACTAGCATTATTTTCTTCACCTGTGGTTCATGCTATTATTATTATTATTAGTTTGAGATCTCCCATATTGCTGAGTGATGTTTTATCAGGGAATGTGCTCCAGTCATTTTCAGGACAGACTGTTCTTTCCCTTGCGTCCATGTCTCAACGTTGTCAGAAGTGCTTTTCGCCTTCTCCATTCTTAGTGTGAAGTAACTAAATCTGCACTGTATTAAGTGTATCCACCCTACCCCACACATCAAGTAAGACGCCACGTTTGTCCTGCACAATTCAAACTGGTTCAAGTTTGTTCAAATTCACAATATATCCTCAAACAAATGATTGATTTAGTGACCAGTCTGTCTTCACTTTTGCATTTTTATCACCTCAGGTGGACTTTGTAAACTTTGTTAGCTGTGTTGCTTCATGTGGAGTTTTTGCTGACTGAGAGATTTCTGCACAGCATGCACGTGGGAGGGTGACTGCACGTATGACATTCAGCCACTTGCCCACACTGTTTTGCATCATGCCGTTTGATTGTGTTTGCTATGAAGTACCAGATATTTTTCTATGATCATATCATGCTTGGGATATGCAAAATAAATAAACCCTTCATAAATGTGGTTTGAAGTTATGTTTGTTAAAAGACAAAACAAATGTGATTACATTTGGGCAAATATATCAAATGCTACAACATGTTTTATCGTTCACATAAAAGTCCTGCTGCGTTTTATGCATTTGTTCGAACAAAATACTTAGAGGGTCTCTTCATCCTTTTTTAATTATACAAAATGTAATTGTGTTTAATTATGTATAATAAAACACTTCACAGTAATGCATACATTCACACAATGTTGACAATATTGCTTACTGCACATATTTTATATTCTATAACTTATTGCATTCTATTTCAATATAAATTACTGCTTTATTTTATTGCTATCTTACTATATTTGTATTACAGTGTTCTTAATATAGTTCACTATCTGTGTTCTTTTTTAAATTTTTGTTTTTTAATTTGTATGTATGCACCACGACACCTAGTCAAATTCCTCGTACGTGTGAACCTACCTGGTAATAAACCCGTTTCTGATTCTGATTCTGATTCTGATTCCTTACAAAAACGAAACCACATTTACATATGCTGAAATCTTTCCAAAGTGAACCTGTCTGATATCCTGAAGTACCCACGTTAAACCTAATTGTTTTACCAGTTTGCCAAGATGATGACAATGTACTGCATGTATGAATCACCACCTTCCAGGTAACTAATGTCATTGTGTTTTGGTTCAGGTTCTCCTGAAGAGGCTGCAGATCGCCAAGCCGACGCCTAGCCTGAAACGCTCAGGACAACTGCAGGACTTCCAGCGGCAAGCCGCATACTTGGGAGCTTCATCAGCTTCAATGTCCACCAACAAGAAAGAGAAGTCTCCCAGCAAGACGCCCTCAGGTAGGCAATGTTGATCCAGATCTGCCTTTTATTGCTTTTAAAGATTATATGTTGGATACCTTAAACAGGATAAGAACATGGTGATTGAGTACCTGCTCATACAAGGTCCGCAAACAGATATAAAACAGTTTAAATAACAATGATGTGCCTTATTGGCCATATTAGGACTATCTATTGTACAGTATCTAAAACACGAGGGCTAGGAGATGTTTTTATCACTTAAAGACAGACACACTCGTGAGGAAGCTGCACACCATAAACACACCTTTGCTGCCACTGAGTGTTTTAATCCCACAAGAGCAGTTTGACACCAGCAGGAGTGGTTTTGTAGCAGCCTGCTGGCGTTTGCATGTGATGATCTAATCAAGGTAAACAAAGAGGATCAGCATGTGGCACTGCGCTGCGAGGCTTCTCCTAGAATGAAAGCTGCAGATGTATGGCGCATGTCTGTGCTGCTGCCTTCAGATAGCTGCAGAGATTTAATTAACAGAAGAAGAATTTCAGACATTAAAAAGCAGCTGATGAGTGACACTGGTAAGAATCACCCATTTATACATATCTAATTACAGATTAATTTATAATGCTATTTTCATAGAAAACGTATTTGAGTATCTGTTAATACTTTTTCCTGTTTCTTCAAATTGTGTTAACATTAAATCCTTGTTGGGTTCATGTGTCCAACTTTAAATCATCATCAGCTTGCTTTCTTTACAGACTCTGATAAACATGTTTGTGCTTGTGCGTGTTTACCTGTACTGCAACCGATTGTTTTGGCCCTTTATGGATGAAATGATCAAATATCTGTTTTTCTTTTCAGACATTTGGACTCAAAATTTCTTCTTATTTTGTTATGAATCGGTAAATCTAAAATCTGAATATATTGTTCTGTATTTCACAGTAGCAGGACCCAGGCCGGGCAGTTCGGCCCCCCACAGCTCCAGTGCAGCTTCCCCCTCACCTGACCCTGGTGATACACCCGTACCCCGGACAAAGAGAACGAGTGCAGCCAAACCAGAACACAGCCATGATGAAAAATAAACTTGTTTTCCAGTGAGTGATGATGCCATTTCATCTGTATTTCTTCCTTTTCCCACTTTTATTCATATTTGTACAGTTTATGATGCACATAAGAATAATTAAATATTTATTTTAAATATTATTTGGTGTTATGTATATTGTGTGCCTTCAAAAACTAAGCTGGTTGATCGAGCAATTAGTTTCCAACTTTAAATTGGGGAATAATGGACCAAAACAATTATATTCTCGTTTCCTAAAACGTACCTGTACAAACTGATCCCATGTGGCAAAATTGAAACAAACAGTAGGTTTTTAGATTGGTTGTAGATGCAACTACTCCAAATATTTCTGTGGTACTCTTGATATTATAAAAAAGTTCTCAAAAAAAAACAATAATGCTGTGGTACAAACCTTTCAGGTGGTTAATATTGTTTCCTTCTGGTGATGTATTAGCAGATGTTTGCTTTGTCTACCAAAAGTGCAATTACTGCAATTACTTTCCAATTTAAAGATTGTGGATATTTTTTTGATGATGGCTAAATTATATTTAGCTGTTTTATTCTCAGGGATCTGTTATTATACATGATGGCACACTGTCATGGCTTATTGAGTCACAGGGCCATTGTTATTGTCATTAATTAAGGCTGTACTTGTTCTGCTATATGTCAAATGGCCTGCTCTGAAAAGTTCCTATTTAACTGATGGTGGTTTGCTGTGAAAACAGAACAAGCATCACAAATACTGGAATATTAGATTAATAAATCTTTATTATTAATCAAATATTAGGTGAAGTTGAATTCATGGGTCAGAGGGGTCACAACATAACAACACGTGGACCTCAGCAACTGAAACACTGACTTCTGTCCCACTGAAAGGCAGTCTGTGCGTTGTAGATGGGATATATACAGATTTCTGAGGAGGCATGTTAACCCAGGTCAACAGTTTACCTGTACATGCCTATACATTGTAATTCACCACAAGATGTTGTCACTCGATTACAAGAAATAAGACCTTAACAAAGTGAAGGGTTTCCTTGGGGACTGGGAGAAGTCTCTTATGTGTACTTCTTGATCTCATCGTACAGCACCAACACAAAGGCACCACCCATGCCTCTGATCACGTTGGACCAGGCTCCCTTGAAGAAGGCTTTTCCTCCCTCATCCTTCAGGATCTTCCTCCAGCAGTCCATTGTGCCCGTGTACATGATGTCAGCTGTGGAAATGGAGACATGGTAGTGAAACATAATGCGGGTGCATGCGTAAAAGAAGAAGGGGGGAGAAGGGGGAAGAAGAAAAAGGAGGGAAAAAGAGAGGAAAAAGAGGAGAAAAAAACTATTCTCTTGCTCCCTGTTTCCCTTCTGTAGCATGTAAAAGTATTTATATACAGAAGTACTTTAATAAAGACCAACAAAGTATGCGTTTGTTGACTAATACACTTGTGTTATGCAGTTAACTATTAACACATTTCTATTAAATATGATATATTTCTAATAAATATTAAGTAAAACGTATCTACTTCTTTCAAGTTTATTACATACAATTATTATTATTTTCTTTATCAGGGATAGTTTTGAAGTAACCAATATGGACCTGTATTGAAGCTCATGGTTTGTGTGCTGTGGATAAAATAATGAAATGTAACCATTACATTTAATATGAACTAAGAAGGTATTGGTGTTATAATGTCTGTCTTTTAACAAACAAAGAAAAAACCTATAGAAATTCTAAACATAGCACTCCACTCAATTATTGGACAGTCACGTACTTGATAGAACCAAACCTTTATTTTAAAGTAGTTCAACTTAATAAAATGTAAAACAACCCTTAAAAGTAAGTAAGGTGCAGTATAACAAAATAACACTCTAAATGAGTTTTAACATCAAATAAACATTATCATAAACTTAATAAAATATATACATATCATATATATAAATAAATATCAAACTATACACCGAACTATATACATAAATCAGTGTCCATGCCTCTGGTGGGGGGGATATACATTTTGTTATGTCCGCCAACCACTGCTCCTTTGGCACAATGTAGTTCACTACTCCCTGTACTGGCTGTGTCCAGTGTCCGCTGTCCCAAACCTCCCACACCTTCACACGTGTTGGGCAGTACTTTGCGGGTCAGTTTGTGGCTGTATGGAGCAGGAGCAGGACTAGGAGCAGGACTAGGAGCAGGACTAGGAGCAGGACTAGGAGCAGAAAAAGCAGAGAGAGGCTGGCATTCAGAGCCTGTGGAGCAGCGACCAGGACAGGAACCTGTGAGCTCACTGGTGTAAATATCATGGAGCCCAAAGGTGGAGCAGGGAAGAGCTGCAACACCACCTGTGGACCTGAGGGTGGAGCAGGGAAGAGCTACATCTCCACCTGAGGGCCAGAGGGTGGAGCAGGGAAGAGCTGCAACTCTTTTGTGTTCTCTCAGGGAGAAGCAGGCGTCTGCGAAGGGTGTGCGCCAGAAGGACAAGAAGCTGAAGGAACTGATCATTCAGGTGGAAGACGAGAGAAAGCAGGCCGAGCAGTACAAAGACCAGGTATGATGTTTGTGAGTTGGAGGATATGTCGAGTTGATGTTCAATGTGGTACTAGGCTTTCTTTAAGTCCTCTGTTTGCTCACTAGGCGGAGAAGTCGAATACCCGCATGAAGCAGCTGAAGCGGCAGCTGGAGGAGTCGGAGGAGGAGTCTCAGCGCGCTACAGCCGCCCGCAGGAAGCTGCAGCGCGAGCTGGATGAAGCCACAGGGGCCAGCGACGCCATGAGCCGCGAGGTCAACTCTCTGAAGAGCAAACTCAGGTAGGGCACAGGGGGTCTGTCTGTATGTCTGTCTGTATGTCTGTCTCCCTGTCTCTCTGTCTCTCTGTCTGTCTGTCTGTCTGTCTGTCTGTCTGTATGTATGTATCTCTGTCTGTCAGTCTGTCTGTTTGTCTGTCTCTCTGTCTCTCTGTCTGTCTGTCTGTCTGTCTCTCTGTCTGTCGGTCTGTCTGTTTGTCTGTCTCTCTGTCTGTCTGTATGTCTGTATGTCTGTCTGTCTGTATGTATCTCTGTCTGTCGGTCTGTCTGTTTGTCTGTCTCTCTGTCTCTCTGTCTGTCTGTCTGTCTGTATGTATGTATGTATGTATGTCTGTATGTATGTCTGTCTGTTTGTCTGTCTGTCTGTCTGTCTGTTTGTCTGTCTGTCTGTTTGTCTGTCTCTCTGTCTGTATGTTTGTTTGTGTCTTTTTATTTCTGTGACGCTACAGGACACAGAAAGTGCAGGAAGAATAGTAACTGAATAGTGAATAGTCACTATTCAGTGGATGCCGTGAGAGTGTAAAATAAGCATATTATACATATTTTCACTAAAATGACCAACTTCAATCTTATTGGTTTGACAATATTTTCATAATGTCAAACCATTAGGTGCCAGTTTATTTACATATTATGGCTCCCAGAAAAGACACACTGAAATGTTATTCCTTTATATGTACTAATTGATAGGTGGATTAGCAACAATATTGACTTTGATGCATTGCAGCAAAGCAGCAATGCCCCTAGCGGATATCAGGAAAACAGCATCCAGCAATCAAGTAGGAAATAGTCAAACAAAAAGTTTGAAGCAAAGGCTCTAGATTGAAAGCCTGATATAATAGAATATTTGATGTTATGCTGTAATGGCCGTGAGATCCAAAAATGTTGGTTTAAATTTCATTGAGGACATTTCTTGTCATTAAGATCAGGTGTGAGTGTCTGTTCTTTGGCTAGACAGTTTTCATGTAAACTTATCGCAGGAGCTGAGGTGGAAATCCTAAAATACTGTTAAACTCACACCATGGCCAAAATGTATGCCATATGCATTAACACAGCCTAAATGATGGAAGAATGTGTAATAAAAATGACCCTATTGCAGCCCTAAGGTGTTTTCAAGTCAGAGCACATTCAGAGAGATGTAAACACATTCAAACTTTACATCTGTATATCATTTTGTTTGGTTGCTTTACTGAGCAAAAGCAAAACAATGGTGTCCCTCTCTATTCCAGAGGCAACCCTGAGCCCAAGGAGTAACACAGCAGGTACCTCTGCGCCTGAGTTACCCCATCACCATTTCTGATTAACTTACCAAAGCTTTTCATTCCCTCATGCACTCTTAATGCTTTCATTCCTTCCAATGATCTAACTGAGAGAAATATGACTCCTCAGATACCATGATATCCTTAGGAAAAAAGAAAATAATACAAGTGGGCTTTCCAATACACCAATCTCTAACTGGTGGCCATATTTTTCTCAGCGCTTGGTTTATTTGCCATAAACCGAACTCATTTTCTCTGAGCCAGGAGTCAAATGAGTTACAAAGATAACCAGCGTGCTTAACCTGTAACCAAAGCACCAGCTGTACATTGTTCATTTCATCGACACCATCACATAACCACTCCTCTCATTGCGTGGACATGTGTCTGTGTTTGTATCTTGTCTCCATGTCTGGGGGATTTTTAGGCGTGGAAACGAGCCCTCCTTTGGCAGCACATCCCGGCGTACTGGCGGAGGCCGAAGGGTGGTGGACGACGCCTCCGAGGAGGAGGCCGACTCCCAGGGCGACTTCAATGGAACCAAGTCTGCGGAGTGAGGGACGTCAAATAACCAAATATCAGCATTTTCTTCCTTCTGCCACTTTACCAAAAAATAACTTCAAGCCTATATAGTTCTTCCACATCACATCAAAATATATCCCAGTGTTCTGATCTGTCGTCTTGTTTCAGAGCACCTTTTCTTGACACGCAGTAGAGTGGTGCGGGAATGAGTCTTAAAATCAGGGAATGAGTTAGCATCTTACCACTTCTGGTTAGCTCGTCTGGAAGTCAACGTTTTTGGTTTGTTTGAAATAAGGTCTGTGGCTAATACACTTGATGAAATGTTCACATCCTGTTCTGCGACATAATACACATCAGTAAACATCTACTGGTGAAAAACAGGGTTGCTAACAATTGGCTATATAGAACTACTAGACGTCATCACGTTGAACATTAGCCGCCTTTAGCTTAGCGTGATGTGAAGTCATGTAGTTAGTTTATGGCACAGCGTTAGTTTCCTCATTCTGTGGATTGCATTTTTGCTTGAACTAGCATAACATTGGTGTTAACATTTGGAGTGTATCCCGCTGGACAATACATGCATTTGCTACAGAACTTATCTTCTTCAATATTCCAAAACCCTATGGAAAAAACCCATTGGCTTTTTGTTGTGGGAGCCCTTGCGATGCTAACTTCCAGGTCATCCTTCAGAAATACGTCATCACTGCACCACTTTATAATCAGAAGGACTTGATATCAACAACAGGAGTTGTGTTGGTGGCTCTGCTGATGTGTGTTTTGCTGTTCCTTTTTGTGTCTTTTTTTTTTTACACTGTTTTGTACTACACTGAATGACTGATTCCTTCTTATGCAAGGTTTGTACACACACATAGGTGCCTCTAATTACCACGCTAACCTGCCAGCAAAGCCTCGGGCCTCCACTATAATGAAGTTAAAGCAGAGACATCGTGTACGTCTATGGACAGGTCTCCCTTGAAAAAGAGATCTATGATCTCAATGGGACCAATCTGGTTAAATAAAGGTTTGAAATGAAATGGACGTGTAACCGTCGTCCTGTTGCCTGTGACTGCTGTTAGTGTTTCTCAGCAGCACTGCCACGTTGGATATGTAGAAAGAGATCTATATACTTGCTCTGCATCCAGTGAGTGCTGCTGTTTGTACTCCCAACAATTATATAGCTGTTCAACATTTTCTAAAGTCACCGTTTTATATTATTTGCACCTGATCTTTTGCCCAGATATGTTTAGATTAGATTGAGTCAATGTTTTAAGTCAGATAAGGTTTAGGGTAACCTTAACTATTGGGCAAACCTAATTTTATATTTGTGTCTGTGATTTACTGTACATGTTTAAAACAGCCCCTTATTTACTGAAAACCAAATATTTTGATCATGATATATGTAATCAGCTGATGTTTACAGGACACCAAATAATATATGTTAACTGTTGAACCACCTGCACGAGAAATAAATATATTTAAAAAAACACAGATTTTCTCCTTTTAATGTTTCCGTCTTGTGTCAGTCACTTTAAAGATCATCATCTGTTCACTTCAATAGAAAAATCAAACTAACAGGATTGTAGTTGGTATAGTACCTCAGGCACACACAGTTTAGAAACAGTTGCAGAGGTGCTGCGTACAAACAAACAGTACACAGTGTTCATGGAATACATTTACAGTGTTAGTTCAAGGAAGGTTAGACAGCAAATGCATTTGTATTAACCACAAGTAAACTCCACACTGCTGTATACAGTGACAACCGCTGTATGCATGTTATATTTAGATATGTATTGTAGTTTTTCTTTGATAAGCTGCTGGATGGCAGTAGTGACGGATAAACATTTCAGGAAAAAGAAAAGAAAAAAGGTCACAATAAATCACTATTTCCCCCATTCACATTATCTCTTATGAAAAGTAAATATTCAATATAGGCTCTATTTACCTACACAAATATACTATGAGCTGTGCTTGTCTTCGACCAGTTAAAATCTATTATTGCTTGTATTTCTCTTCACCATATATAACTCCTGATGGCAGACAGGAGCTCTCTCACCTATTAGGGATTTATTACTATACATTCAGTAGTAAACATGTGCCCACCTAACTTCTACAGTCAGCTAAAATCTGTATAAAAGTGATTTGTAAGTGAACTACTTATCTCTGAGGCAGAACACTTTTTCTTCAACTTCATATTCATAAGTCTTGCATACCAGATGATAATGAGTCTGTGCGATGACAGGAAGAAGGCGGTAGAAAGAAAACCATGTGAGATGAAGCTAGCCTGAAGAAGTGACATTCTCTGATTCCTAGACACCTGACAGCATGAGGAATAGATCACCCACCTCATTTGTTTTTAACTGCTACAGCAAACTGAAGAGGTCATTGATGAAGGCAGCGATGGCTAAAATGCTAACACCACTTCATGGTAGCCATTTTTGTAGCAGTAAAAACATGACTATCCCTCAATCCTCATCACAGAAAGCTGGGGAACAATAGTCTTGCAAGGGGGGGGGGAGAAAGGAGAAGAAGGGGGAAGAAGGGGGAAGAAGAAAAAGGAGGAAAAAAGACAGGCCCTCTTTCAGCACCAATCCTCAGGAGAACACTGCAGAAATCCCACTTCCTGTCTACAACTCTTCCCATGGACTGTGTGGTCCGTACCACCTGCAGCGACACAATCAAAGAGTATGCATTATTTCAAAAGCATTTGATTTGATATCAGTTAAAACATTCTGACACAGTCAGACACTTGACACACCATGAATAGTTGTGCCCACTGTGAACGTTTCTTTCTGTGTTGCAGTGCCTTTGAGCGCCTGTTGGAGGCGCTGACTCATCAGCTGTGTGAGATGGAGAAAGTGACCCTGCAACACATGAAGGGGGCCACACTGCTGGTACCTGAGCCGCTCCACTTCCTCCTTCCAGAACCCAAAGGACTGATGACCGTGGTTTACCCTGCAGGAGTGCCTGACAGCCAACTAGAGACACATCGTAAGGTAAGACTGAGATTCTCTCAAATAATAACAAACAGGCGACATGTTGTTTCTCTGACTTGTTATAATCTTAACCCCTCTAGCATAGGGCTGCAATTTAGAGTGTTTTTCACACAATATCTCTGTCATAATAGGAACTGCATCAGCAGTTTGAGCTACCAGATGACTGGCCTTATTTCAGGAGAGCGAATGCCTTCCACTTTTCCAATGAGCCCTACAAAGATGGCTACCTCCGAAATCCTCATATGGTCCTCACACATCCCACGCTGGACAACGGAAAGGTGAGGCACATTACAAATTAAAATGTGTTACATTCTAATTCCCCTTTAGAAGATGGATACTGAAACATACTTTTTATATTGTGTGTGTGTTTCCTCAAGGTGTACTTGGTGCAGGGGATCTACAGCTATCACCACTACATGCAGGATCATATGGATGACAACGGCTGGGGCTGCGCTTATCGCTCGCTGCAGACTATCTGCTCCTGGTTCATGCATCAAGGCTACGTAGAGCGAGCCGTGCCCACCCACAGGGAAATCCAACAGGTACAGTAGTGGGGCTTTTACATATCACACAAAATATTAGAAGTGTCCGAAATGGCTGCTCTTAATTGGCTTTCAACTTTCCAGACTTTAGTGGATGTTGGAGACAAACAGGGCTCCTTCGTTGGATCACGGCAGTGGATCGGCTCCATTGAGGTTCAGGTTGTTCTGAACCAGCTGCTGGAGGTCACCTCAAAGATCATGTTTGTGAGGTGTGTTGTGTGAATCCTATGGATAACCCATTGTATGAGGATGTACTTTATTCAACACGACTTGGACTCATCTGATGATAAATGTTTGTACTCTTTAGTCAAGGCTCGGAGTTGGCATCCAAGGGCAGAGAACTGGCCAACCACTTCCTGACTGAAGGGACTCCCATCATGATCGGTAAGCTGGATATCTGAAACATTTCAAAACTTTACATAAACTGATAATGAAAAACTGAAACCATAAAATACTTTGTGTATATACTTCCATATAAATGCAGATCATTTCATCTTTAGCAATATTAACACTGACTCTTTAGCAACATAGAGTATAACTGGTCAAAAAAAGTAATAATTGACCCTAAAATGCCAATTATATGGTTAATTAAATGTAAACTTAAAACCGTTACAGCATTTTCTGTAAAAGAAGAGAATCTTTAAACAACCTTTAAACAATTATAACTCCTTAAAGGTCCCATGTCATGCTTTTCCGGTTATTACCCGTCCCCTTGTGTGTTATGAAGTTCTGCATGTAAACGGTCTGCAGAGTCACAAACCCTCAAAGTACACCCTGTAGCGAGTAAAACTCTAACACAGAAAAGACCTGTTTATGCTGCTCCAGAACGCCTCGTTGGAGATTTCTCTTTTTCTTCCTGGGTACAGTGACGTGACCATACCCAAATGGACCCAATCCGTGGAGCTCCTCACACACACACACACACACACACTCAGTGGCGAAACTGTGACGCTCTGGGGGGGGATGCTAGTGGAGCCTCGCAACGGTGAAACTGTGGCGCGCTTACACTGTAGGTGCGCTGCGTTTGGGGGTGCGGGGGGGGGGGGGGGGTGCTGCAGCCCCCTCAGCACCCCCCCCCTCCCCGCGTCCATGCGATGTCCCCACGCAGCAAGCAGGAAATGAACCCGGCTCACACTGTCCGCTCCTCGCAGCAGCGAGCCGCGCAACGTCCCGCTAATACGGCACCCAGACCCCACGCAGCATTCTCATCTGTTTGTCATTACTGGTGTCATTTTCTGGTTGCTAACACCATTGTAACACATAATCACTGATGTTCTGCTGTAACGGTGGTAGACTCATCAGAACATAGTGGGCGAGCTGACCAATCAGAGCACAGTGGGCTCACAGGGAGGGGGGGGCTCCAACAAGCCGTTTAGGACAGAGAGTGAATACACATACTATACAGGTATGTTTTGAGCTGTACTGTACTGTACCCAATATACAAGCTGTTAATAAACTTTTCAATCAATCAATCAATCAATCAAACAGAGATGCTGTATGAGAAACCAATGAGAGTTTGGAAAATTGCACAATATAAATCTATTCTAGTAGACCTCAACAATGGAATTATGATCAGTAGAAATGGCCATGACATGGGACCTTTAAGCAACATTTGATTGTCTGATCTTGTTTTTCATGAGATCATTGCAATGTATTTTTTCACATTATTGTTCCTGTCTTGCAGGAGGGGGAGTGTTAGCTCACACTATTCTAGGTGTGGCATGGAGTGAGACCACTGGACAGATCCGCTATCTTATCCTCGATCCCCATTACACAGGAGCGGAGGACTTACAGGTTATCACAGACAAGGTAACTGTTACAAGCATCTGCACTGGCTGCATTCCTCTCTGTCAAGTACACATTTTCACATAATGTGCTGTATTGATTTTGGTATCTTATCTTTCCCAGGGCTGGTGTGGCTGGAAAGGACCAGATTTTTGGGACCAAACTGCTTATTATAATCTGTGTCTGCCTCAGAGGCCAAAGGTCATCTGAGCTGTCATAGCCTTTCATATGGGCATCATCTAACATTGGTAAAGCATCTGTGAAACTTTAGAGTGACACTATTGTCTGCTACTTTTACAGAAATGTTTGCAGCTTTGCAAGTCATTTCTGTAATGATGTTAAATTGTAATGTAATTAACTTTAATAGCTTTGGTCATATCCTACATAAAGTATTGTCTTAACACGAATGGAAGAACTAAAGATGGATGTAATTTAGTATTGAAACAACAAATTGATTTATATAATGTAATCTACTTTCTGTACTTGCCATTATATGAAAAAGGCAATTAAAATATGAATACCATATAGGTTCATTAAATCAGGTATACAATTCATCAAAATCAACAAAGTTGTATCATTTCTTACCAGTGCATAAAACACTACGCAAATGACTGATTTTATAGATTATTTAACTGTACATAACATTTTGTCATCAGTTTTTCTTAATTCCTTATTTATTTGTTTCTAAGTAAAACAAGAGATGATCAACTAATGTATTCATATGTTTTATTGTTTTTGGCTATCTTTTAAAGAATGCCACATTTTCTTTGATTCTAGCTTCACATTTGATACCTTCTGAAGATTCTCTACTTTACTTTTGAATTACATAAGATAATAGTTATTTGTCAGCCCTATTACAGACAACCAAATAATGCATGCCTAAAACAAATATGTTTTTCTATGGACACCTAAATTGAAGGATTATTGTTTTGTGTTAATTAATGAAATAAATAAAATATCTTTGCTAGTGAATATATTGCAGTGAAATTACACTAATCCTCATTTAGCTGAGGACCTTCTGGAAACATTAAGGACCCCCAGGCGCCCTTGGTCTTATTCTAAGAACAACTTGAGTAGAGAAGAAGCTGTGCCTGAATGCAGCATGTCTGACACAGCCCATTATTAGAAAACAATCAGTCCCTGTAATTGAGTTTTCATAACCAGCCAGTTGTCAGAGTCAAATGGATGCTTTCCTCTTCTCAACAGTACATAATAAAATGTTGAATTTTCTTTAAAATCTGTTGAGCGTAGACCAGACAGTTCATTTTTCAGAGATGTATTGTCACTCTTTGTGATTTCTTCTCCATGGGTTGATTGTAGTACGGGACGCCACAGAATGAACCCCCATTCAATTCCCATCTCTACCCATCCTGCATAGGCATGTAAATTCTATGACAGTGACCAGACACAGGTTTATACGATGGATTCACCCAAGTCCTATTGTGCTAGGATATTGGAATTTCATTAGTGTGTGTCACTTCTAGCTCTAACAATGTTATTAAGAGAAAACCCGTGACAAATTATAATGTCAGGGGACGCGCCTTCAGATAATCCCCTTTCTTGTTAATGGGTATGCACTAGGGGGAGCAGTTACTTTGGCATAATAGATTTCCAAGGAAAAACTAGATGACCTCTTGTCTGTTCCACTACTTGTTCTGATTCTAGATATGTTTAAGTAGTTTAAACCTTTAGATGACAGAGAAATCACTGCTGTGGTTTTTTTTTCTTAATGTGGTTACTCCTTAAAATAGTGTCCTCTGTATACTGTGCTTTCGAGTTGCTTAGTTTACCAGATACTTTTGAATTTATACCTTTAAACTTTTTATTGCCAAGTAGACTTAAACATGTTTTGTCTTGGTGGTTTGGTAAATAAAAAATAATCAGCTAAATTAAAGAAACATAAATATAGTCTAGAACATTGTACAGTAAAAATATGAAAGAAAAATTGTATATATATATAAATTAGTGTTTGGATATTGTGTTACAGATATCATTACAGAGAAAACTGTATATGCTGGGTTTATATAGAGTGTATATAGAATTTGCTAAAAATAAAACGAGTTTGAAACATACATTTTCAGGCGTTTCACCACTAAAAACAAACTAACAAAAGTATTTAAAGGTAAACTCCCAAAAAAAGAGTTGTCTTTTCATCTGTGGTGAAAGGAGTGCAAAATACATTTAATGCATTTCCTAGTCTTTATACCAATACAAACATTATTCCAACCAAATACAGAAGCAAGTTTAATAAGTATGCCCAGCGTGATTCATTCCATCATACTTTTCTATATTTGAAAAAAAATAAAGGAACTCAAATCTCTCTGAGAAATCTCTTTAAAATAGACTACCTTTTTGGTTTTTTTCTCCTTTATTTATTCAAGAGCATATATGAACATGATATATATTGTATACAAACAATTCAAACCAGGGATAGACCTATAAAGTAATACAAATTACATAAAAGATAGAAAAGAAAGAACTTTTAAAAAACCGTACTGCAGACCGCTGCACGAGAGCAGTCGTTGCCAGGAAGTGACATTGCCTGGTTACTAGGCACCATGTCCCGCTGACAGCAGCCAGCTGAAGCACGCTAACGAAGATTTGTTTTTAATGCGGTTTTGCGTTTAACCCTCCTGTTATATTCGTTTTTTGTAACAGCAATAATATTCGTGGGTCAATTTGACCCAGTGCATGTTTAATTATCCAAAAATGGTCAGAAGCCCCAAAATCCAGATTTTTTTTTGTACATAGTTTGTACCTTTTATTACTATCAATGAAATCAATATTTAGTGCAATTGTGTTATTCACCTCTCACAGATCATGGTTCCATTAGAATAAGTCACTCGTTTTTCACAAAACATATACATTCAAACACATTTTTCTATTTTCTTTTTTACATTGGAAAAACCTTGATATAAAATACATTAGTTTTGCATAACATAAATTTTTTTAAATTACTTTTAAAATGTTCCAACTTTTTTTCCAATTGGTTGATGTTGATAAATAGAGACGAGACACCTCTTCTGTTCAGGGTCAAATTGACCCGTTCACTTAGAATCAAGCCAAATGAGTCATGAGGATTTGTATTGAAAGTATTTGTGTGTGTGTGTGTGTGTGTGTGTCCTTTTAGCCTCCACTTGCACTGCCGGGTCAGATTGACCCAAATACCATCTCTGTGATATAGACATGTAGGGGGGGGTTCCAAATGCATGACATGAACCATTTTAATTGTACTTGTTTATTGCACTAATTAAGGTAAGGAGAAGAAGTTTCATACAAAAAAAATACTTGAAAGTATTTTTCGTAGATTTTCAAACTTTCAAACGGGTCAATTTGACCCTGAATGTAACAGGAGGGTTAAAGAATGGTTGAGAAACAAACATCCGTGCAATCACCGCTAAATGCACTTTAATACAGGGGAATCTCCTCTTGCACTTTATGTAGCTCTTGTATCCTCTCTTGCACTTTATATGTCGTAGCTGCTATATTGTATTACCATGTCATAAATACTTGTGTATGCTGCTCTTGCTCTTTTGCACTTTTTGCATATCATGTATTTTTTTTGCTATGTTTGTAAAATGTAATCTTCTTAAATGTTTTATGTGAGGGACTGCGGATGGAAATTAGCTCAAAGCTAAATCTGGCACTGTTATGCTTGACACATTTTTATGTTTTAAGTGTTCATTACTGCATTGTCCCTGCCAAATAAACGATTAAAATAAAAAATAAAAAATTACAAGGCAGGATGGATCCGTGCTCTCATGTTGTCTTCTGACCCTACTGCCTGAATGTTGCAGCAGAAATGGTCTTCTGCATACCTTGGTTGTAAGAAGTGGTTATTTGAGTTACTGTTGCCTTTCTATCATCTGACATTTTTCAGAAAAAAAGTCAGAATTTTTCTGAAAATGCCAGAATTGAGAGATTTTTTGAATTATTCATCATTTTAGAAATAGTCTGCATTTTGGGAAAAAGTCAGAATTTTGAGTAAAAAGTAATTAGGAGATTTGCAGAAAAAAATCTGGCATTTGGGATTTTTCTGAAAAAACAGGATTTTGAGAAAAGAAGTCAGGATTTTTTTATTTGATGAAAAAGTCAATATTCTGAGGTTTTCTGAAAAAGCCAGAATTTAGAGATTTTCTGAATTATTCATAATTTTAGAAAAAGTCAGCATTTTGGGAGAAATTCAGATGTGATAAAAAAAAAGTCAGGATTTTGATAAAATTAGCTTTATTTAACTTTTTTTGTGGGAGATTTTCTTAAAAATTCAGCATTTTAGAAAAAGTCAGCAATTTGGGAAAAGTCAGAATTTGGAGAAAAAAGTAATCATGAGATTTCCAGAAATAAGTTCGAAATTTGAGAGATTTCCAGAAAAGGTTAGTTTTACTTACATTTGCCAAAAAGTGAAATGCTAGTTACTAATTGTGTACTCTAATTAAAGGACATTTTGCAGAAAACACTTCTGCATTTCTTCCACTACTTCTAATTGTGTTTATTTGTGTCTTCACTGGTGCTCTTCTCCTTATTATAGTAATGCATTTATTAATATAGCACTTGCTCTTCACAACACTTACGATAAAACCAGGCAAAAAGGAAAAACAATAAACTAATTATTAAAACAGAGCAATGATTTTATTCAACATGTTAATCAATATATTGTAAAGAGGTAAAACAAGGTGATAGCTGGAGAAAAAAACCATACATGTATACAAATCTATATTTGCAAAAATCTCACCATAAGAAATGACATCAATACACTTTTAAAAGATCAATACAGTTTATCTTCTGTTACTTGCTGTGTGTGTGTTTGTGTTTTTGTGTTTTCTCATTCTATAAAAGTGCAGAGCTAATAAGCTGTATGGGAAAGTTTCTACTGTTTACATTTGGTTGTGCCCTTAACCTGTTAAGCCCCGAGCCTGCTTTTCAGGTTTCAGGCTCGAAAATGACATGCCCAAAACAAATGACTACAACTTAACTTCTAAAAGGGTTATATGAATAATTTCTTTGATCAAAGCAAGGTTACATCTGTGAGTTGGATGTAGAAGTGTCAGAATCAATATAGATTTGTCTCAGTCAGAGTAAATTCAGATGGAACATAGCAAAAAAAACCTTAAGGGAAAAAGAATTAGGTCACATGGCGCCCCCTGCCGGCAAACACTCAAACAACATAAGTAGGCCTACATAATGTATTTTCTTTCCAGGATGGATGTGCAATGCTGATGCTCACATACTTACTGTGCACGCTCTCTCTTTCTGTGAAGTATCTCACCGGTAAGGCCTGACAACACACATCCAGCAGTTTGACAGGACACCGGGCTGTGTGTGTAAAACCAGGCTGGGGAGTGTCACGTTACGTTTGTGTCGTCAAAGACAGCTTGATGCTACTCAGCTAGCCAGCTTTAGCCGAGCAGCAGCTCTGCAGAGCGGTCAGCCTGTCGGATCCACCCCGCACTG